ATGTTCAAATACATAGATTATATTTGAAAACATTAGCATTTATATACTTTGTGTGTTGACTTTGCACTTCTTATTTGCCCAAGATGAGGCTGCTGGAGTGCAACTTCAAGTTTTGATGAGATAGAAATGATATGAATGTTATTCTAAACAGTAGCATGCTTTAGAAACTCTTCTTCTAATCTTTAAGGTTGTGTATGCCTACACTAATATATGTATAATGTGCATATATAGTACACAAGCACAACGTATGCATGATATGCACCTGATATGTATAAATACCTGAATTAACAAAATAGTACTCTAAAACTGGAGTGATAGGGCAGGGATTGCAAATTATTTGAGCCTTGCAGCTTTTGTGATAGGAAAAAAGTCCCCACCCAAGTCAAACCAATGGAAAGGAACATAAACTGAAAACAAGCTTTATGGTAGTGGTTAAGTGCTAAGAATTTTAAATAAACCTAAAAAAAAGGATCTCAGTTGTCCTTATTAGAAAAGCTGTGGCACCTATGCAACAGGTTGGATCTCACTGTGCATGTAAGCTAGTAGTACCAGATCTTTCACTGTTCCCTGTATTTCTTTGGGAACTGTGGGGTTTTGATACAAAGAAGTTGTGTTTCGGCTGCTTAAAGTGATTTGGATACATTGAAAGTAAGCTCTCACTTTATTAGGGTCAAGCAAAGGAAGTTGGGAGTATGTTTTGAAGTTTTCTGTTCATGTCTCTTTAGGGTAGCTCTGGGAGGGTATGACCTGAAGCTATCTTAGTATTTGGAGCTCTCTGCCAGATAAAGGTAAATCATTATTACCATACCAGGAAAGTACTCCATGTGTGGAGCTCATACCATCAAAAGTGCAATCTTATTAGTAGTATAGCTACACAAAGACTGAAATTTTTTGACAGAGTGCTTTTTAAATCAAAGTAGCGACGATGATCATGTAGGTAAGTGTATACCTCTTAAAGTATCAATCGGTATATAGGACATAAATAGTTGTACCAGCATGTTCTTAAGACTCTTGAGTCTCACTTCCTCCTCCTTATAGGTATTGCAAATCTTTCAACTACTCGGTTATTTTTGGACAGGCAAAGTCTTGACCATTTGTGTTCAGAAGTCCACATTCTCTTTCTCTAATTTCATGTGGCATCTCTCAGTGTTATCCCCACCCTGTTCTTTGCTTCCTTCAGTGTTACTCTAGCACACTTTTTTTTCTGAGAGTCATCTCTCGTCATGATTCCGGAGTTAGATAATACTGAAGTTTACAGAACCATGAACTCTTCCACTCAGAAATACCTGTGCATAAAGTTCTCTGCCCTCAACCTGTCAGAATGACTGTGGTGTCCTCTAGGTTTATGAAGCTTGAAGCCTCCTCTGGTTTGCTTAAAGCATTGGCTGTCCTCCTTACCTTGTTCATGCACTTTAACAGCTTATTCAGTTGTCTTCATCAATGGCCCAATAAATGAGCAGAAGCAAATAAGCGAGTGTTTTGAACTTACCAGGCATGAAAAAAATAAATACAGGAGGAATAGAAAGGATAACTCTTCCTGCCTTTCCTAGGGAAGGTGCTCAAAAGCAATTTGTCCTGTTTCAGCTTCTAAGGCTGAGGTGATGTTTTAATGAAGTGAGGTGGTGGTTTAACCAAGTGGATGATACCTATTCAGGAGGAGAAAGAAAATTCTTGGATTCTGAAGAATTGCTAATAAATATGTAGTCTCTCATTAAATGTGTCTGTAGGTGAAGAACAGGAAACACTTATGTGACATAGTCAATAGTCAATTGATGTGATTCTCTGAGCCTTATTTGGAATGTAAATCAGACCTAAGATTGTTGCTCACTATGCATCTACTACACAGGAGTAATTAGTTCTCCATCATCTTTCCTTTTCTTCTAAAAATGCATTCATCCTGAGAATTCTTTCTAAGACTGGAAATCAATTGTCTTTTCTATCTGGTGAGAGTTGACAATGACCACAAATAGTGATTTCCTGAAAGGTGATGCAGTGCCTAGTAAACCCTGTGGAAACTGCAGGGAATAATGGCGTCGAACGGTCAGATTCCAACAGACTTTCTTGGTCCAGTTTCAAGCTTTTCAGCTGCAATGGCATTTAGGAGAGAATGACTGGAAGTGCAGCTTTAGGTATCCTGAGGCTGTATCTCAGATACATATGCAGAGAGACAATATCAGCAGCTTTGCTTCTGCTCTCCGGAGCACATCTACATATTGGCTGTTCACTTCAGAACAACAGGCTGCTCAACAGGCTACCATAGTCGCCAGAGCCCTGAAATAACAGAATCTTCTGTTCTTGGGCTTCATGTTAAATGGGGACAAGTCTGACTCATTCTGGTGCAGTTTTATGAAATCAGTTGATACCTGACTGAATTCAGTATCCCCATCAGCACACCTTCCAGAAGTTTCTTTTTAGACTGTGGAAGAACTGATGGGATAATACTAATCAATACGCCATTGATGTAGTTATGGAGTGTTTGGTAATCTTGGAAGCCTGCAGTTTTGAAGTATTATTCTCAGAGTCTGTCACTGGGGTATCAGGTTGTCTTTACTCTAGTAAGATTGCAAAAGGCCCTCACTTTTTCTTGGCAGTTGATGTTTCATCTCTTGCATCCATCTTAGTCAAGAGAAATGAAAGTTGGAGTCAAGAACATTGTCAGCACTCTGTCCTGATGATCCAGGCCCCTCTTTTACTGACTATTTTGCATATCAGTATAATCTGAGTGGTATGAAAATTGTGTGACAGACTTAATTGCAGGAAAGGGTGCTGAGTCCAGAAAATAAGTACCATCTTCACTACAGCATTTACTGGCAAACAAGGCAAAACATAGTCTTCTGTGTAAGAATAAGTTGTCTTTTGGAATGATGCATACAGCATCACATTCACCTGCCAGCAGTTTAGCTTTGTGCTTCTCTGAATAATCTGGGAGATGGGCTCAACCACATTACTGGAGAACTAAAATGGAAGATCTAAGATATGCACATAATATCTTCTGGGATTGAAGGTCTTCAGAGATGAACATCTGTGGGTAGGGAAATGCTTGTTCTTGCCTAGTAGATACATTCTTAATTCCCAGATTAGTGTTTTTTTCCCTAATTTATGTTCTTCATAGTTATTCATATGATAAAGTGGAATGTAGACCTTGTGTGTTTTTCACTGCCCATGTCACCAAAAGCAGTTTAGGCTTGATGAGCTGTTCACAGTCAGTTGCTGAACTATAGTCTGCTCAGTCCATACTTCTAAAATTTATTAAGTATCTGCTAATCTCCTTGCTTATTTGTTTCCCCTAGAAAAAAAAACAATGGCAACAAATGTCATATGCTGTGCTAGTACCAGGCAAGAACTGTCAGGACTGCAGGAGAGGTTCCCCTCCCAAACTAGCCATGACCATGGCACATTAAATCAGCAAACAGTCAGTCTTTCTTAATGTTAGTGAGGGGGTTTGTCATGGATTTGCTGCTGTTGTGTCACAGTGGCTTCTGAGAATGAGACATTTAGTGGAAATATGCTGTGGTCTTCATCCTTTTGCAAAGATTTTTGAGACCCAGCTTGGGGCCAGGGGTGAAGGGATGGAGGATCTGAGGAGAGCTGCTTGGAGCCACCCTCAATATATGTGTGCATATATCCAGGCACTCAGAAAGAAAAGTTACACTGTGAACTACAGCTGAAGTACTATTTGAATGTAGATTTACCACCCACCTTCCTTGCTGCTCTCCTAAGAGATCCGTTTGGCTACCATAATTTAGAGGAGTTGTAAGTCCCATTACATAGTTTTGCCTTTTATGCCTGTATGAAAGAGGAAGTACTGCTAAATGAAGAAACTTAAACTCTGTATTTGTGCTATGGATATACCTATGGTAACTTTCACAGTGAGTTTTGTTTGAGCTGCTAAGTATTTTTTAAGTTGGCTAATTGAGTCATATTTCTGCTCAAACAACTGATGTGTGTCAAGCTGCAATAATACAGGCTTACCTCATAAACACTACGTATCCTGCTGTTGTAAGGAAGCTGTATCATTTTTTCTGAGGGAGAACTGCAGCAAAACGTCTGAATTAATGATCATTTCATGGTATTATGTCAACTGGGAAAATGTGCCCCAATTTGTTGAATTCTGTGATGATATGTATCTACTGTAGTTGAAAAAAAAAATTTTTTCTTTCACCTTTTGTTGCATTTCCCCACCCTTTTGAGTTACAGTAAATGTTTTTGGAAAATTACCACCAAGTGAGAAAGGTTCCTTAATATTTGTGTAGCTTCATTGATGGCATCTTTTTTTTTTTTTTAAGGTAATGATCATGTCTGCCATTCTTCAGAGAAATGTTTGTACTCCACACATTCTCATGATCTCTTATCCTTGCTTAGTAATGTAAATAATAGTGACTACCTGTCTCTATGAACGTCTGTGTGAAGCAATTAGAAGCAAGGAGTTAGATGTGTTAAAATTGTAGTGGTTTTGTTTGTGCCTTTGAAGCTAATTCAATGTAATGCTCTATTAGAGCTTGTGGGTAGATAAACTGAAGTCTTTAATCTCAGTTTTCAAATTTGGTGTTTCCTGATGCTGTCTCTTCTTCAAGGGGAAAATAATAACAGCAGCAGCAACAACAACAAACCCAAAACAAAACACCCCCAAAACTCCAAACCTAAAGTAATTCCTGACTTTTTCATGATTCAGTCTTTGTTTCAGAGAATATTTCATTCTGCAGGACTGGTTACAATACCTAGTAAGAAATTGCAAATTAATCTGGTTTAAATAAACCATTAAAAGAATGATGAACTTCTTGTAATAATACATCTGAATTAAGAATTGTGCCAGAAACCTTTTTATATTTTTTATTGCAATAGTTATTCCTTTATGATAGACTGCTGAAAGGGGGAAAGCTTCTTGATTGTATGCTGCTGCTGTCACATTGATCCCTTTTAAGATGGAAATCAGTATTGCTTTCCTCTTACTGTTGGTTGTATGCAATGTTTTAAAGTTTCTTACAAAGTTCTTGTCTCAGAAATATTAACCCTTTATTTGACTGCTTTCTTTCAGAGATGTGGTACTGGGTTTTCCTCTGGGCTCTCTTCTCTTCTCTCTTTGTCCATGGTGCTGTGGGAGTGTTAATGTTTGTGATGCTGCAGAGGCATAGGCAGGGGAGGCTGATCTCTGTCATTGTGGTCAGCATTGGATTTCTGGGTTCTATAACTGGAGCAATGATAACCAGTAAGTCTGCCTTTTTTTCTTTATTTTACATCTAACTTCTAAAAATTAAAAACCCCAAAACTTTTTCTTAGTGATTTGTTAAGCGTTTATTACGGATTTTACCTTAGTTATATAACTTCAAATGATAATGACAGCCAATTTGCAATGTTGTGCAAAGATAAAACTATAGAAGGAGTGCAGAAATCATCCTGCTCTTTCCTTTTGGAAGCATTTGGTACCAAGCTATCAAAAGGTGTGCATTCAGGATCAGGAAGAGCAGCCCTGTCCTACCATACTTGTTGCAGATTATTTTTTTTTTTGTCGAAGGCTTCTGATCAAGCTCACCTCTTGATACCGTTAAAGCCATGAGTTTCTTTTGGTTCAGAAGTCCTGACTCCATTGGTTGCAAGGCTGAATTCCTGCTCGTATCCTTGGGCCTGCTGCAGGTTTATAAGTTGCACCTGGATAGGATGTTGCTTTTTTAAAAAGAAATAAAGGTGCAATGTAGGTAGTGATTTACAGCTAAGAAAATTCATTTGTTTGGAGAAGTTACACTTGGCTCATGGATTTGAAAGAGCTTTCCAGTCTTGGCTTGGCTGTAATGTTACTTTCTACTTTATTTGGGGTATGGAGGAAAGAGGGAGGAAGGGCATTGGACTGCTTTTTTTCACACACACCTTCCCCACCCCCACCCCCCACCC